TTCGACGGCACCTACGACCCGCGACACCAATTCTCAACTTGTCATGCTAGTACAGGTTGCACAATCGACCCCGGCATGGCTCGCATAAGTTTTTCGCTACTTTGCCCACCTCAATCACTGATGTGTTTCAATAGTTGGATTGACAACTGCCTTGCACCCCAGCCGATCTACGAGGTTAGAGTAATTTATACAGCTGACACTCCACGCACATGTCCAAGCCAGTCCAAGTGGAACTATATATTCTTATATTGCAACTAATCGAAAATTGCCAATTTTAGCTAAACCTCATGAAGGTGTCGCGAGGAAATGGAAGTATTTCAGTGCCAACACATCGAAATAGCATTCGGAAAAGCATGCAATAAAATCTTGTGCTTCGAGAACGATTTACCAGCATCAAGTTCTGGAATTATCTTAGTTGTCAATTTGCACAATTTTCAAGTATAAGCATACAGCATTTGTGTGAATGAGATGCCATTTCGTCTTGCAAAATATATAGCGGAATTCGTACCAATTTTTAGGTCAGTTTATTTTCAACAGATTCATGTACAATCTATACAGGATATTCGATTTTAGGGTATGTTGTCGACAGTAAATTTCCACCGTTTCCAAATTTTCAGAGTTGTGCTGGTTGGTTGGTCCCTTCTTGCCGTTCCTTCCATGTTGTGTCAATCGTCTTGAACAAGCTCAACGTAAGAATCCTTCCCGCTACGCCAATCGATTTTGCTCTTTCCATTGGACGGTCGGCACAACAGCTCATAACGAATTTCGGGACGTCGCACCAACCCGGAGGGCATGCCCCCCTCTTTGACAAGGTTGTATAGTTCCAACGTATTTTCCATCGACACTGTAATGATCCAGTACATTGAAATCCGATGACGATGATTTTCAGTAGGATGTGTGTCGTCCATACCTTAGGTGCGATTTGCATTGCGCCGGGGTGGAGTTGGCGGGAAGTCGTTGTATTCTACGCAATAATTAAACAATTAGTGCCGATGATAATACAAATTCACACCGTCGCTGACCATAGCGTCAAAGTTGGCCTGTCCGTTTGCTTGTTTGAATGGTCCAAATATAAAACTCCCATGGGCTCAAACAAATGTGAAAAATTGGAAGCCAAACCAAGTGATATTACTTCCAAGGCGCCATTGACAAATTTTCAATGGTAGTAGAATAATAAATCACGACTTCAAAAAGCCGTATATTTCGTAAATGAGCCTCTGAATGGCACATGACTTGGGTTCACAGGAAAGATGCTGCCTATTGAATAGAGGCAGGGTTGTATCTTCAGAAGTAGTTTCTCTGACTTACGACATGGTAAAGAGGAATAGACCCGCCCATTTCCAAATTTTCCAAATTGACTCCATCCTTTCTCAAAAGTTGATCATCGATCAGAAACTTGGATAATGAAAAATATAATTACAAAATTAAATTTTGAATTGAAATTTGTACTACTCGGGCCAAACGAAAGTGTCCATTTTTGTTTGAATGATCCGCAAAAATCGGCGGATTTTTTCTAGACTACCGGATTGGTAGATAATGAAAGCTGAGTGTTTGCTGATTGGATTGCTGTGTCATTTGATTGAATTCGCGCCAAAATGGCTGAAATAGGGCAATTTGAAAGCACCCACTATTTATACTTGATTAATGTATGCTAAGAATGGACCATTAATTGTCCACTTCACCAACTGCACGTGCTACGTCATTCAACCCCATGTGCTCAAGGAAGGGCAAACCGGGGCAGTAGTCGACGCAATTCTCGACAGCGGGTTGACCATCACGGCCATGGAACTGTTCAATATGGACCGCACCTCCGCGCCGGAATTCCTCGAGGTAAGTGATTGCGGCGTAGCCACGTCTGCTTGCTTCGTTTTGGAAATGTTTACCTCTATACAAGCCATTCAACGTACGTTTGAAGCTGACACGCTCGAACAGCACGTCGAAAACGTTAAGCAATCTCTCAAGCTGGTTCCCGCCGCTACTTTGGATGGTGTCTACCTCACTATGCAGAGTGTTATGCAATCGATTGTTGAGAGCAAAGGAAACAATACTTACAAGATCAAGCGTGTGAACAAGCGTTCCAAGAGACGGCGCGGTGAGTTGAAAGAGCCACTTGAATGGCCCCCCGAGGCTCTTAATGCCGCTTGCCCTCTCACCTATGTCGTGTGAGTTTTAACCAATGAATATCATTTTCTTACATTTTTGACCAATAAAATCAAAAGTGGACACCTTCAGTGGGCCTCGACCAATTTCGAAAGTGGACACCTTCGGTGGGCTCGAGTAGTACGCAAAAAGTATACAAAAGTCAAGTAAAAAATCAAGTATAAAATGTCATTATAAAATTTACGTCGGGTGTTCGGAGATGGAGACAAGAAAGGGCCACGAGCAGCAAAAGTCGCACGCATCGAACCCATCGCAAGGCGCTCAGCACGACGCTGGACATAGCGGTGCGGGTCATGGCACGCTGAGTGATCTTCTCTTCGGTCATGCGGGCATATCGGGCCAGAACGGAACGATAGTGGTGGCTGTCGTCTTCACGGAGCGGCATGAGACCGACGTGGAAGTTGGTCAGAGCAAAGGTGAGTCGCTGGATTCTATCAAAGATCTTAGTTCCCCACACAAACGTACTGTAGGCGATCTTCCACAAGATGCACACCCGGCCGAAGAAGTTTTCGACGATGGCTCGGTCAGCGGACACGGCGGCGTTGCGCTCCAGGTCAAGGCGATCAAGGGCTCCATGCGTTGGGCGCTTCTTGGGGTGCACGCACTCTGTCAAACCAATGTAACCTTTGTCGACCCGTACGGCCCACATGTTCGGAAAGGTTTGATGAAGCTCACCGTTGTCCTTGATAGTCGCTTCGGAGGGCGTCTTGGTCAGGTTGGCCACGTGCGTGTCATGGCGCTTACGAAAGATGGTGAGATCCGACACTGAACCAGGTTCGTGGTCGCTCATGTCCACGAGTTTGCCTTGTGGGGAAACTGACGCTTCCATCTTGAGTCCGTATATCTAGTGTTTCCCGCTGAAGAAGTGTTTCTGCTCTCTGAATCGGCCGGCCGGTCGGTGCGAAGGTTGAAACTTGACATCGGTCGCTTATTTGGCGTAGGGATAGCTGGCGAACGGGCGACCGCTAACGTGGATCTGCTCCAAGGTTGGCATCACGACGAAGTAGTTGTAGATGAGAGGCGAAATAACTTCGACAACGCGAAGGACAATTTTCTCCAGAGTTGGTGCCTTGATGTCAAAGTCCAGTGCATGCTTCTCCCAAGTCTGGTAGCACTTCATGATGACAAGCGTTATAAAAAGCGCATCCTTTGGCGTCGTCTTGGAATTGCGGTCCCGGCCATCGTTCCAGCGCGCTTGAAGCTCGGTTTCAATGACACTCCAGACGATCTTAAATTCCATTGGAGCGAAGTTGGTTAGCGTGCGAAATCCCTCATCTTCGCTTTCTTCGATAACCTTGACAATAACAGGATTACTATACGTTACTGTGTCATTTTCCTCGTCAACAACGTCACCATAATCACCAAGACTCTCCTCGAGAAAGAGCTGGTCGGAGACACTCTGCATGTGCAAGCGCTCAAGCATGGAGGTGATATTGAGTACCATGTCGATGTTCAATTTGATTGTGTTGTGTGCGGCGATTGATCCAGGTTTGGAATTGCGCGGGAATAAAATGGCGGCGGCCAATAGCATTTTGACACACGCAGCAACCGCAATATCCCTCTATAACCGAGTCTTTGATAAATACATACAAGTTTTGATCATATTGGGGATCTTTTTCGAATTAATGGGAAGCCAAACCTCCAAAAACTAAAAGCAATGGCCACCTAGTTTTCAGTGGTTATCAAGAGTACTCATATAATGTACGAATATTCATTCCACATTTCGACATGAATGTCTTCCGCTGCCACGACGTCAGACGCGGCCGAATGGGACGCACGTACTCTGTGCACGGGCTTCTTCGTGTTGTTGACGGGCGTGGGCATGTTGCGGATACAGATGGTAATCTCTAAAGTCCCGCCCTTTTACTTGACGTGCGGCTGGCAAAAGTGGACATGGCGACTTGGTTCTTGCGGCTTCTACATGAAACGTGACATTTGGGATTTCTCCCAGTGCCACCGCAGACCTTTACAACGTGATACGTTTGAGATTTTTTCAGCCAAATCTATTCTGTTGTGAGAAAGACCACTCCGGTGTGCAAGGAACTATTTTCGTGTTAGAATGCCCTCTTTACACTGTAGATGTGATTGGGCTTTTGCTCCTCTAGAGCCCATGGTCCTGGCCAGCGCTTGTGCATTTCACAGTGGCGTCGCCGGCCCATCTTGTTTTGCAAGATACGAATTGTAGCAGCATCACATTTCACGGCCCCGTGTACCGCGCAACCGGCCACCCCTTGCAGAACTAGGCACGCAGCGGTACGCAGTAAGCTAGTGCCCGGTCAATGGAAGTAGCCCGACTAGAAGTCGAGAACTTGTTGGTGCAAGCGCACCGGCGATTGATCCCGTGTAGCCGTCACACTGCTGGCGCTTGGATTTGCTATTTCGCGCGCCAACCCAACATTCTCATGCCAGGTTGGTCACAACATATGCTTGCGAAGGACAACAGAAACACTTCCAAATTAATACATTGCGGCGAAACTTGGCTCCGCCTGCCAGACATCAAAATGAACATAGCTGCATCGGGAAAGACTGGCGTCATGGGCACACGATGTTGTGGTTGTTGGCACTGCAGCCGACGTAGTGTTTCGTCGATTCCGTCGAGCGTGTGTCAAAGGCTGGACTTCAGGCCACTCGGAGATCGGTGGCATGAACTTGTGCTTCTTTCTCCACCTCGTCGCAGCGTCACGTGTCAACGGCACTCGCTTCCCCGAGACGTACTCGGGTCTGACGTGGTACCGACTCGGCGGCGACACGGGAGGATACACGTGGCTAAAGACAATGCAATCCGGCAGGCGCCGGAGTCGCGCTTTGATGTACGCCACCGCCTTGGTCGTTGCAGTCGACGTCGGGTGCCGCTCCGAAGACGGTGTTTGGAACATGGACGTGAAGGCGCGGAACATGACGCGTCGAGTCGAGTTAGGTTGATTGGGAATACCACCAAGTGCAATGTGCCCTTTCGAGCCAGCCGTCGCGTTGGTGCTTTGAACGAGATATTCTTCGAAATTCGAAACTGCAAACGGCGAAAGGACGGCAAATGTCGAAGGTCCAACAAGATGAGGAAGGGGGTGGTAAAGGCGTTGATTGCTGTTGCTGTGGACTCGATGGTCTGGCATGGGATTGAGGCGAAGGATTCACAGGTGATCGTAGCGATGGGTCGATGTACAATCTATTCACGCGGCCCAACAGAAGCACAATGTGCTCCACGGCGACGGTCAACAACCTGGCGGCTCTGGAAGACACACTTGCGTTTTCATACAACAACAAACCTATAGGGTCTTGGGGGCAGCTCTACACGCACTAATGGACACGACACGACCAGACCAGCGTTCGAGTCTTGTGAGGGCTGCCAGAGGCCGAGGACGGTGCCTGTTCGGGGTGGCCGAACACCAAGTTACCTGACTGCAGAAATGGTGGCAACATCTCACGGATCAATGAAAATGCTCCTTGATCGTGTGCGACCGACGAGATGTGACATTCCATTTGGAGCTGCAGGACAAGCGCTGAGAGGCTCATCGGCGCGTGTACGAGAAACCTTGAGCAGGTACAAAAAGCGGATGAGCATTGGGTAAGGTTGTAGGTCCGACATTGGCGCCGGAGCAGTGCGCCTTCAGTTTATTCTACTCCCATGCGGAACAAAGCATCCAGGAGGTAACACTGCCCATATCAATTCTATGCGCATGACTACGCTCTACACTTTGGCAATCGTTCGCCAGGTTGGGTACGCGAATGGAGCTCTGTCAGCGGAAAGGTCTGGCCAGTGGTGGGCAATGTGCTTGGTGAGAGCAGTGTAGACAGCGAAGTTGCCTTTGGCGTTCAAGTGGAGTCCGTCCGACAAGTACGAGTCTTTTTCAGCTTGGAAGAGCGCCCAGACGTCCAAGACAGGCACGGCAAGTTCGTTTCCCACAGCGACAGTCGCGGCAGCATAGCGGCCTGTGACGTCGTTTTCACGACCGAAAGGATTCGAGTCGGAGACTGGTGGTGGTGTGATGAGTAGTACTTTTGTCGACGGAAACCACTGGTGAAGCATTGCGACAATCGCCCGAAGGTTCGCTTCGAATACAGCCAGTGGAACGTGCTGTGGCGAGTCGTCAGTTGCGGCATCATTCGCGCCAAGGAAAAGCGTCACGAGATGCGGAGGGCTGCGGTGTGCATACGCATCTCGAAGAATCGTAGGAAGTAAGTCCAGCATCCATCTACAAGCGCAGTAGGTTAGGATGAATGAACAACACAAGCACAAGGAAGTACGTCGTGGTGTAGCCACTCAGGCCACGGTTCACCACGTCGAACCGGCGAATGTAGTCGCGCGCAAGCAGGCTATGAAAGCCGTCGGTGGTGGGGTTGCATGCTTGCTCCGTGATCGAGTCGCCCAGCAAAAGGATGCTGGGATGGGTCGCCAATGCCGTCGTGGCCGAAGTTTCCGACGTTGCCATATCCAAAGTTGTATCCGGATACGATTACCTGCCTTGCGTTCCTGAGGCCAAAGAAAAGTCACGCTGTGCCCTCTAATCTACAATGACACTTGCACCCTCTCGTTCTCGCGTTGGGGGACGGCCTCCTACGGCACCACGGCCGACATTCCCTTCACAGCTATCTGGTGGAGGTACTTGCTTCTGTTTGGCAACCATGACGAACGAAACACTCGAGCCATTGCACCTGTCTTGCAGTGGTATTGCGCAAGGAGGCAGGCAATGCTCGAAATCTACATGGAGGAGGTTGTGTGAACAGGGACGGCCTTCTGTCAGTGTTGGTGATGGATGGGTTTAAAGGAAGACAATGCTCTTCGGGTGAGGTCCTTTCATCATGAAGGAACTACTGGAGTTGTGCACCAAGATGCATGCTGGAGAGGGCTTCTTTTCAAGTCTTCGAACCGTGCCCTTCTTGCATGCTTTGCTCCATGATGTTGGCATTCCTTGAACTGCGCCAAATCTCTCTTCGTGCCTTTCGCATGACATTACCGGCATACAATGAGGACTGCAGCAGTGTACTCTTGCGGATGTATTTCGTGGAAGTGAGCCATTTTCACATGCGCTTGAGTGTTGTGCGAAGCGGTTGATGGCACCACTTGGATGTGCTTGCATGAAAGTGCCGTGGCAAGTTGCTGCCGTCAGTTTGCAACGGGTTTTTAAAGTTGCGGCAATTTTCGAAGTATTTATATATCATTTTTCCTGCCGTAAATTCACCGAAAATATTTCATTGGTCAAAATTCAACGACATTCGGCCGATAGTTCAACCATCCGACTTCATGCAAGGTCGCCGAGTTGTGGCGGTGGTCGGCGTCGCCACCGCAGTTCATGCGTACTCTGAGTTCCGGTACAAGATCCCGAATGGATTCGAAGTAGAAGGTTTTTCGGCAGTGGGGCACGCCAACAAGGTCGGCGGTGGCGGCCAACTGTCGTCGTTTGGGAACGATTTCATCGATGCAGGGTACAAGTGGACCAACGCGTTGTGTGCTATGGACTCGGATGGCGATGGCGCGACAAACGGAGAAGAGCTCGGCGATCCATGCTGCAAGTGGAACGAGATCGAAGACGACTACCCGTTGCGATCGTCCCAGTTGTCGTCGCCCGGACACGCCGACACGTTCTCGGACGCCCAGTTGGCGTCCATTCGATGCCAGGCCAGCGACGAGTTGTGAAATGACTCCAGTCGACGTAATGCAAGTTACTTGAACACATGCGTCGAGAGCAGGTCGTGGTAGCTGGGCGTTTCGCTCGTTCATCTAATTTTACTCGTTTGAGATAACGCCATATGCTCATCGTTGGTTGCAAGGTGATGGGAACACGAGCTGCTTGCGTCGTCGTTGCGGTGCTGCTAATGCTGGGCTTGGCCTTGGCATCTCCGTGCCCTCAAGACTGCAGTGGTCATGGTTTTTGCCTGAAGCAAGGGGTTTGCAAGTGCTCGCGGTCGTGGACTGGCCACAACTGCGCCACCGGTACGTCGACACGAGAGCACGACCCCGTGGTCCAGCCGTATATATCCCGATATCTGAAGCAATATGTGTCCAGCCAAATGCCCCATGGGGGTGGCGTGGTCCGACTTTGCCATCGACAACGACAACGCGCACAACCTGGCCATGTGCTCGAACCGTGGCAAATGCGACACCACGACCGGCATTTGCACGTGCTTGGCGGGCTTCACGGGTGAAGCTTGCGATCGCCGTACAAATCGACCCCTCAACTCGTTGCAACTGATGCCCTGCATGTCGTCGTGTAGTTGCGTGTTCGTGCAACGGGCGAGGCACGTGCGTCAGCATGAAAGACTACGCGCTTACCAAAGACCGGGGGCTCGGTCAGATCTTTCCTTACGACACAAACTGGGACGCGACCAAGCTGCACGGGTGTGTGTGCGACCCTCCGTACAGCGGCTACAGCTGTCAAATCAGTACGGTGTTGCCCTTGTGGCACGCCATCTCGCACTGGAAGCGTCACAGCACATGCTAGACGAATGCCCTCGCGGAGATGACCCGCTCACGGGAACCATATACGACCCATCAGGCCTCCAATTCAACGAAAAGCAGATTGTTAACTGCAAAGCTACGGTGTGTAAAAACTCAAATGCAGAGAGGGGAACGTGGAGGGGTTGTGTGCGTAGGGAGGCTCGTTCACGCTGACGTTTCGAGGCCAGACGACAGTGCCAATCTTTCCATCCGACTCGGCGGCGACGGTGCAAGCCAAAGTGTGGGTACGTTGTGTTTTCGTTGTGGTCATCGATTGTTTCGCATCGTTCAACGACGAATTCAACATGCCACGTTGACCCGTAGGCGCTGCCATCAGTGAACGGCGTGGCAGTGTCGTACTCGGGGATCACCACCCAGGCGTGCACGATCCTCGGCAACAACATCGCGTTGGAATTTACGCAAGACTTTGGCAAGTACGTCGATCCTCGCGGTTTGGTTGATGTTCTCGGAAGTCATTCGGTGGCTTGTGCTGCAGTTTACCGTCCGTCGTGGGGGACGCCACCCAACTGACGCATTCGTCGGCCGGGATGTCGCCTACGCTAACCATCACGACAGCGACGGAGGGCACGAAAGAGAACGCGTTTTGCTCAAATCGTGGGCTGTGCGATCGCACTTCGGTACGCGTTCCATGCATGGCCGAGCCATGATTGCCATGGCCGTGTAGGGCATTTGTGCTTGTTTTTCCAACTTTTTCTCGAGCGACGGCAACGGCAACATTGGGACGCGGGGGGACTGTGGGTTTGCAGTCGCCGCCATCACACAATGCCCTGTACGCCCAGACGTGGAAAAGACAATTCGAACACTCGATGTAGGGGGCCGTGCTCGCGTGCAGCGGGCATGGTATTTGCCAGGGGCCTCCGACGTACACGTGCATCTGCGCGAGCGGATTTCAAGGCGGCGACTGCTCTGAGCGTACGGATTTCGTCGTTGCACGTGTCAAGTTGACGCTCTTGGCCTAGGCATATGCCCCGTCGGGAAAGCGTGGTTTGACATGCCACATAGTCCGCAAGGCGCTCACGGCCTCGTGGAATGCTCCAACGCTGGTCTTTGTGATCGATCTAAGGGCGAATGCGTCTGCGATCCTCGCTTTACGGGCGCGTCGTGCAATCGAAGTAAGGCTGGCTCGCGACGAGTGCAAGCGGTTCGACAGGAATGTCGTAGTGGTGTGTCCAAACGAATGCAGCGGCCATGGGACGTGCCAGACGATTCAGTCCATGGCAGGGCGCTCCGTGATCAACGGCGATCCCCTGCGGTTCACGTATGGCTCGATTCCAAATCATTTCCCGGTACGGACAGCCTCCACAAGCGACCTCGCTGACAAAAGCCCGACGGCAGACCTGGGACTTTGACCAGATGCAAGGTTGCGTGTGCAATCCTGGCTACGCTGGTTTTGACTGCTCCAAGTGTACGTACGTGCAACTTCGATTTGGGACTTGCCTGGCTCCGAGAGTCGCATTCTTGGTTGACCATCGCACTGCTAGTGACGTGCCCGACGGGGGACGACCCTGTCACTCGGGTCGATGCAAACAATCGACCCCAAACCAACACCATTCAAGTCGTGCAGTGCACTGGCACAGTAAGAGTTGCCCATCCCCACCATTCGTGTTTACATAGTGCTATGACCCAGACCGGAACCTTCACTTTGGGATTCCGTGCCCAATCTACGCCAGCGCTGCCGTTCTCGATCACACCGGCGAATTTGGCGGCCGCGCTCCACGCATTGCCCGAGTTTGGACAAGTAGGCGGCGGTCGGCACAACCCAGTTGTGATGACCACTGGTGTAGGTGTCAGTGGCATACTCATCCGGCACGTCGGGCTGCACGGCGGGCGGGACCAACTTGATCTCCATTACGTTTCGCACCGTGTTTGGAAATTTGCCAACAATTCGCACGACTGTCAATGGCGTGACATCGGTCACCGTCCGGAACGACGGAACGGGCGGGTCGGTCGTCGGCACCAAGGAAGACGCCGTGTGCTCGAACCGGTACGACCATTCGTGTGCATAGTCGTGTTTCTCTTGCGCAAACCCGTCACGAATGGATATGCAGCGGAACGTGCGATGCCCAGCACGGCACTTGCATTTGCGCCGAGGGGTTCACGAGCAGCGACGGGTATGGAGGTCCAGGGTCCCGCGGCGACTGCGGCTACATGGAGCCAGTGTACCTCAACTCGGCAGCCAAAGTTGCAAACGAAGTTGGATAGCATCATGAATCAAGCGTGGTGTGTGTGCGTTCGAGTGTTTTCGGGTGTTGTGGCACGGCATGTCAGTGCCCTCACTGGTCCGACATCGCACCGTCGTCTATACAACGCATGTCTCCCCGCAAGAAGCAGTATTGGAGACAACTTCGTCAGGCTCTCTCGACAGCGAACTCCAATTAGGTCTGCCACCGACGGTGGTGGACTGACTCGCAGTCACAACAGGCGTCCAGTCGAAGTCGTCACGGATCGTTTGCACGGGTCCATCACGTCGGCATCAAAGCCTTCAGCTCTGTGCGCTTTACATTCGGGGGTGGGCTGCAGCTGGCGTTTGACAGTCGTTCCAGTCGCGCCGCACGTGAATATATCGTGCCAATTTGCTTGTGCCACTGCTCGAACACGCACCACCGCACGCACGAACGGAGGCAGAGACCACGTCGCTGATGTCGATGTCACGTCGGCGCATGATATGGCATAACGTTAACTTTATATAACGAAGCAGGATATCTTGACCAAACTAAACATAATTTAGTGTATAGGTATGGATAACTCTGCAAACAAAGTACTTCCTCTGTTAGGTATTACTGCCACCATAGACTAATAACTTGATCAAGAGGTCTAATGGGATCGAGTTATTGCGCTATGTGGATGATATGTTGATGACCGACATTGCCTTCGGTCGTCCAATCCCCTGGTCAAAATTTGTCGGTTAGATGTCGGATGCCATCCATGTACATATAAACATATCATGAATATATTAACAAAAAATTGATAAGAAGTAAAAGATTTACTAAATATAATAAAAGCGATTGTGAAAAAGACCAATTAAAGAATAATAGGTACTCCGGAGTAAATACTGTATCCATAATAATTGCTATTATTATTGATTTCTTTTATCCAATTTTATTTGGTATTGATCATAAAATTGCATAAAAAGGTAAAAAATACCATTCAGGAACTGATCGATGCTAATACTCGCTTGTTCGAAACGTATTCTTCTTGCGGGGCACGGAGGCCGCCGCATCGTCGTGGTCTTGCGTATCACGTCGGTACAGCCGCACGCTCCTGTTTGCCTTCGGCGTCTTCGGCCCTCCTTCCGCCTCCATCCACTCGACCAAAGGGTACACGACCATCTTGTCGATTAACCACACGCTCGTGAAAACATGGCCTACACCGATTCAATGCCCTCGGGTCCATGATGGCGACCCACGTCGATCCATGGCGCTGCCCATCGTTCGAGTACCTGTCAGGACATCGTTCGCCAATCGATGGTACGTGGCCCACGTCGTGACGGCGAAATACGTTGACAAAACAACATCCAGCGTGTAGGTTTCGCGCCTTCCCAACGAACTCACCTACGTCGACAGGATCAGAGAGAGAGTATCGTGGCCTGGGCGCACACCATGGCTAGGATGGCAAAGATCCACACGACAGACTTGACGACGTTCACCGGTGCTTCCACGCGGTGGTAGTACGTGTGCCACGTCATTCCACAGAGCACGAGGAGCGTCGAGTGGCCGCAGTAGATCGAGTCGCGGCACCCGTGCAGCGACGTGTTGCGCTGGTGGTCGAACCACTCCACAAACCCTGCCAACACGTGCATGAGGGCGGATGTTGAGAAGGCTTAAGGGTCACGAGATACCTCGTCGGGACACGAGAAAATGCTGCACGACTTCCTTGGCACTGACACTCTTCTCCTCGGCGAGGCATGTCGGGTTGGAGTCGGGGAGGAACGTCATGAGAGCCAACACGGTGCGCGCCATGATGAGGGACGCATAGATGAGAAGTAAGCGACGCATTATGATCATTTTGGACGGGTGGAACGCGATGAACACTGCCGTCGCGGTACACACGAGGACGAGGAGAACCTGCGGCGGGATCGGAATCGGTGGCAAGAAGTCGTGGCCGATGTCGGGAAGCACGGCATTCGAGTGATTCGGTGTGCGAAAGAACACGAGGGACTTGACGAGGGAGCTCAGAAACACCGCGCACGCGAGAAAAAGAATCGAGGCGGCGAGGCGGCGCGAAGTTGGGTAGATTGCCGTGATGGAGAAGCACACCCCCAAAGACAGCATGAAAAACTGAGCCAAGTCCAGCGCGTCCCCCACAGCGACACCCACAGTGGCACCATGGAGCCAGCAGCACACACACAGGAAGCCGGCAAACAGCTTTGTCACCGTGCCTTCCTCCGACGCCATCTCGCAGGGTTGTTCGACACCACAGTCAGGTCATGATTGTTCGGCGGTCATTGGTCGAAATGATTTCAATTTTGGCGAATGCAATGATGCGAGAAAATTCATAGAATAGTAGTAGAATCGATAAAAATCCCCATGTTTGTACGACGTCCAATAAAATATCAAAGTTCCAAGGACAATTCAGTGCAGTTCGCTAAAAATTCTCATGGGTCGAGAAAAGTCAACGTATTCGTCTTCTTGTGCTAAAGTCGACTCAAACTTAATGGTATTTTGTATGAAAAATTGAGGGTGCACCTTCGAAAATACAAGGAAAAAGATTTTCCTCGGAATTCCTGTATAATTTCATGAAAAAGTGTTCGAAACGGGACGTTTCAGCTGATGCCCATCAACCGAATATTAGTGTGAGCATGTCGACGCAGATGGCTGGTGAGGCACCATTTGTGTGACCACCTGCAGCATGGCGAGTCCGTCCCTTGCGACTACTCTTTGCGGCAACGTTCGCTTGGATACGTGCATCTTCAACGCGAGCGGTCCTCGCACCGGATCGTCGGATGCTCTTGCCAAGATCGCAGCCTCGGCGGCAGGCGCTGTCCTTGCCAA